CATATACATACACACACACACACACACACACACACAGAGACACACACACACACACACACACACACACAAAGGGAAGAGACAGCTTGACGTGCAGGATAAAAATAGCCCTCGCTGTATTTAGGATGGGATGGGTTACTACACTCTTGAACAAGTGCTTCTGTCAATCAAGACTTTAAACAAGATGGCAGACAAAGGGAACTGGGCTTTGGCAATAACAGGCAAGTTCATTCTCTTTCTTTTGGAGTCTTTAAAGAGATTTCTAAGATTTCAAAGCTGAAACAAATATTACAGAAGTAGGTTTGGGTCTTTCTTTGCTTTGGCACACTGCAATGTACTAAACATATGGAAGTGAAAATACAAGAACTATTAATAAGTGCAAGCAGTCTTTTATTTCTGTAAAGGCACTATTAAAAAACCTATTAATTCTCTATCAAACATACTCGAGTTCATCATAAATCATATTAAAGTGACTTCTTGAATGTTAATAGTCTTTGCAGTCTGCACAGTGGGTTTTCTGTTGGTCCGGGCCGACATTATCACAGAGGCTCCGGTGGGTCAGCTGTTTGTCTATGAGCTTCACCGAGAGGTTTTCCAGAGTGAATTTGAGCCTTTTCATAAAGTCTATGGTATGTCGGAGCAATATTCACAATATTTTAATGCCCAGTTCAAAAGTAACAGCATGTTTGACAATAAATGTGTCTTGTCCTGATCTGTAGGTCAAGTTTATAATGATCCCATGGTGTTTAAATGCAACAAGGAGCGATTTCCAGATCTGCCCCGCTGGCTGCGCTTTACCCAGAGAGACGCCTATGACAACGGATTCCTGTACGGGACGCCACTGCCACGGGACCAGGGCAGGAACATCATAGAGGTGAACCACCCATCGCTCACATTTAAAACAGAACATATTGTATCATATTTGACATGATTTGTAAGGCCTCTAAATTATCAAAATCGCTGAAGAACCTGTTGCACACAATCTACTCCACGTTTTTAGCAAGTAAAAGGCCGTTTAATATAATTGTTCAAACATCTAGATTCAGCTTGTGCGATTTTTATTGAATAAACGCAAGAATAACTTTTATATTGTTAGGAATATTTCAGGATGAGCACTTACCGGACTGAAGGTTTACTTGATTATCCAGATTTTTTTTATTTTTTAGAAAAATCATGTTAAATGTGAGTATCAGATATGATCATCAGGCTTTTGAGGAACATTTATTTGTTCACCTCTCACTCATCATTGGATTGCGTTGCATTATAGGTTTTGATCATAAAACTAAGCATTTAACTCTTTCCCCTCCAGCATTTTTGAAAAAAGTTGCCAGCCACCGCCAGCGATTTTGATGATTTTCACTCAAATTTGATGGCCTCCAGAATATTTTGCTGTATGAATATTTGAATATGCAATACACCAAAATAAAGATCAGAGCCTCTACTTATAAACGAAACAATTTTTATTCTACAGTTTTATTCTAGCTTAAAGCATTCTTTTTTTTAATCAACACTTGAATATAGGTAGGTTTCATAAAAATGCATAATTTTGAGCAAAAAGGTGAGAAAATCACATTTTTATCAAAAACTACATCTGGGTAATATTCAGTACGATTATCAAAGCATAAATCCAGTAAATCGCTTCTATCAACACCTCCAAAGCTTGCACAGACATACCACTTCCTGAATCAACATTTTACTCCGTAACATTATGCAGTTTTGCCATTTATTGGAAAAGGGCATCTCAGGAACCGCACGCCAGTGGTTTGAGTCTTACCTCTCAGATAGGTCCTTCAACATTAATTTAAATGTCTAATAAAAAGTCTAATCAAAATATCTTCTGAATTGCTTATCAGATTTTCGTGATCAACAAGCGGAATTACGACACGTTTAAAGAGAGGCTGGTGATAAATGTGGGTCCTGCAGGTATGATATCATTCAGTAAATAACTACTACTAGACTAATGGAACAGATCGATCACTCAAGCTCTGCTGTATTTTCTGGATGGATGAGGTTTATAAACATGGTTTCTTTTCCTCGCAGTAAAGCAGACGCCGTACCAGGCTGAGTTCTTCATAGAGCTGAGAGAGATTGAGAAAGTGCTGCCCGCTGCTGTTCAAACTGAGATCAAACTGGACATTCAGAACCTGTGGAGAACCAGCAGGCTGGAGTTTGTCAATATCACCTCTGCTCTGGACAGGGGCGGCCGCGTCCCCCTGCCGCTTCCAGGATATTTTGAAGGGTGAGGCTACAGAGCAACTCTTAATGGCTCTTATTATGTTGTTGTTGTTATAAAAAATTAAGTAAAAATTATTGTAGTTTATACCAATTATTATTAGAGGTTATATAATAATAATAATAATAATAATAATAATAATACGATGATGATGCACTTTAAATCCCCCCCCAAATATACATATCATACTGTAATAATAAAGCATTAATATTAATAAAGTAATAACAAAGTATTGATATTATTACTATATTATGTTATAATTTTTTTCAATTATTATTAGAGAAAATTTTTTCGTAATATTACATAATATTACTATATTCATAATAATAAATAATAACAATAATCAAAAGTATTAATATTATCATTATGATTTTGTTGATCAATTTAAAACTATAAAAATAGCTTTTACCAATTATTATTAGAGTATATTTTATACTAATAATATATACTATTACTATATTATAAATAATAATAATAATCATCATCATCATAATATATAATGTGAAGTGTTATACTATAATAATAAAATATTAATATTATTATATTAAATTATGTTGTTGTTGCTGTTGTTAAATTATTCATTTTTACCAGTTACTTTAGAGTATATATTTTACTAATAGTATATAATATTATTATATTATACTAAATAATAATCATCATCATTATCATTATTATAATCATATTATGTTGTTTTTGAAAAATTATTATGGTTATTAGACTATATTATATATTATACTAAATAACAAAAACAACAATAACAACAATTATTATTATTATTTTGTTGATGATTTTTTATAGTTTTTACCAATTATTATTAGAGTATATTTGATACTAATAATATATACTATTACTATATTATAAATAATAATAATAATAATAATCATCATCATCATAATATATAATGTGAAGTGTTATACTATAATAATAAAAGATTAATATTATTATATTATGTTGTTGTTAAATTATTCATTTTTATCAGTTATTATTAGAGTATATATTTTACTAATAGTATATAATATTACTATATTATACTAAATAATAATCATCATCACCATCGTTATTATAATCGCATTATGTTGTTTTTGTTAAAGTATTATGGTTATTAGACAATATTATACTAAATAACAAAAACAACAACAATAACAATTATTATTTTTTTATTATTATTATTAATTTATTTACTTTGTTTCAGTCACTATCTTTGTCTTGTTTTCCAGTAAATGTATCTAAATATCCTTTACTTGAGATGCAACATTTCATAAGCTATTAAGATATATATTCAAGAATATTTCTCGAATTAAATGTATTTTTCTTACCCAACTGGCAAATTGTGAGGTTTATGATTATAACAAGACAAAATAAAGTTATATCAAGATATATTCCAACAGGTCTTATTATCTTCCATAATTTTGCTTCTCAACGTCTATTTATCTTGATTTAAAATACTGATTTGAAATATTTTGATATATATTTTGTGTTGAATTGTTGACTGCAGACTTGATAATCATATATTTTGTCTCTGTTTGTCTCAGCGTGTATGTGAAACTGGGTTCAGACCAGCCGTTTTCCCAATGCATGCTGGGACTTGAGACAGCGGAGCATCAGAGAGAGTGTGCAGCCGGAGGGAAGATCAGCGGAGACTGCAGCAGATGCACCAACCCCGTCAACTGCATCACCTGGTGCAAATCTACCCTGGTCAGACACACCACACGGCCTCAGCTGTAACGCATACTTCACCTCCAACCTTACATATCTTTGATCCCACAGTTTGATCTGTCCAAGCCTGTTCCTCCGGCTCCGGTCCCCACCGTGGGCTCTGGCGTCCTGGCGTGGGGTGGAGAGTTCAGTCCTCCGGAGTCTCCTCCCGACAGAGATTTCTTCCCCGACTACATTGTCACCGTCATCGTTCCCTTGGCTCTGGTTTTGATCCTCTGTCTCCTCCTGTCCTACATCATGTGCTGCAGGAGAGAGGGAGTGTATGTACAGTAGACTCATGTTTTGGACAAAAAACATTTAATGCTGTTTGAATGATCATTTTAAGTTTTCTTTTCTCTTTGTCTTTGTTATTTTCAGTCTGAAACGAAATGCCAAGACTCATGAGTAAGTACCTGTATCACCACCACACAGTATGTTATAGTCAGTGGACATATTGATAATTTTTTTTAAAGGGGTCCTATTATGTGTTTTCACTTTTTCAACTTTAGTTAGTCTGTAATGTTGCTGTTTGAGCATAAAAAATATCTGCAAAGTTAC